CTGATACAAGAAATGTTCAAGGGTATTTTTTTTATGTGAACTGATAATATCCGCAAATAATGATAGTCGCTTGAAACTATATAACTTGTGCACATTTCTATAGTTGAGTCATTCTAGTCAATAATTGTATTGTCGTAGGGTTTATTTTAACCTCAACTTATTACTTTGCATTTTCTAGAAAAGTTGTTTTAAAATATTCAACATGACGCGTGTGGCTGTTGTAAGTATATTATAAACTATATATTGTAAAATTTTGCGTAAATAAAAAATTGTGCATTTATACCACATTAGACATAATGAATTGAATTTAGGTAACCGGAGGAAATAAAGGCATTGGTTTTGCTATTGTAAAAGGTCTTTGTAAACAATTTGATGGAATTGTATATTTAACGGCTCGTGATGTTACCCGAGGAACGAATGCTGTTAAACAGCTGGAAGAACAAGGTTTAACACCAAAGTTTCATCAACTTGATGTCACTGATGAAAATAGCATTTCCACTTTCCGCGACTATTTACAGAAAACCCATGAAGGCCTTGATCTATTAGTTAACAATGCTGCTATTGCATTTAAAGTAATTACTACCTAATTTATTTTTCATTTTTTTCTCTTGAAAATTCCTACATTGTTTTTTTTTAAATATATAGACAGATGCTAAAGATCCATTTTCTGTGCAAGCACAAGAGACAGTGAAGATAAATTACTCCAGTTTGAGAAAAGTATGTAGCTTACTTTATCCACTACTGAAACCACATGCACGTGTAGTACATGTATCAAGTTCTTCTGGTCGTTTGTCATTGATTCCTGGTGAATCATTGAGAAAGAGATTTTCTGATCCAAACCTTACAGAAGAAGAATTGGACAGTATCATGAAAGAATTTGTTGAGTATGTTGAATTATACAAATTTATCAAATAGACTTTACTTTATCAAATAGAATTTACTTTATTCTAAGGGATCTATTCTCTCTTCAAATTTCCAGTACTGCTAAGGCAAATACACATTTGGACAAAGGGTGGCCAAGTTCTGCCTATGTTGTAAGTAAAGTGGGAGTATCTGCACTAGCTAGGATTCATCAGAGGATGTTTGACTCAGATTCACGTGCAGATCTTGTAGTAAATTCTGTACATCCTGGCTATGTAGACACTGATATGACTAGTCATAAAGGTCCTTTGACACCAGATCAAGGTGCTGAAGCACCTCTCTTCTGTGCATTACTACCAGAAAACACAGATATAAAAGGTAAATACATCTGGTTCGACAAGTCACTGGTGGAATGGACAAAGGATGCATAAATGTACAGAAAAATCATCTAATTTGATATATTTTATGTTTTTACAATAAATGAACCACTATAAATACCCTTTAAAAAAATATTTACTTAACAGTCCTTTATTTGTACTAAATATTTCATAAATTTTGTATGAAATTTATTACTTTTATCTGTATAAGTTTAACATTTCTCTGTATGAAATATATGTATTTTAAAATAATTTCAGCAAATTTTTATAATTAGAAACTAACTTTTTAATATTATATGTAAAATCACTTTACATATAAGTTCACAAATTCATAATTTGTATGTTCATTGTACATGGTTGTGGATTTTAATAATAAAAAATAAATCAATATTTTTGTATCTAATAACATTATAAACTATCTTGCTTGAACTGCTGCTTCTTTACGTGCAGCATCCTGTAATAGTTGAGTATCCACTTCATCTCCTGGCAATTGTACATAACGTACTACTGATCCTCTAATGAAGCAATTTTTTACCGACAACTGAAAGATATTATATTTTTATTTCCTATTCAGGATACCCTTTCTATTATATTAAAAAATTTATAAATATTACAAACCATGTGAGGATATTTATCTGGATCAGTTACACTTATATCAGTTAGCTTAATATTCAGGTATTGATCTACAGAGTGTAGAGTACCACAAATGCTAAATACAAAAATTTTATTAGATGATGGTAAACACAGCAAAATAATGATTCTTTCAATTAACTCACCTAAGGTCATTTTTTAATTCTACGACTACATCCTTCCCAATTAGGGACTTGAAAAAAGAATAGAACAACTGTGAAAAGCATTGAAATGAGTTTAGTTCGAGAAAAATAAAGGTTAAAGAGAAAAAGATAAAGGTTAACCCGCCAAATAGAAAATCTTAAATACACTTACCATTTTTGGTCAACTAAAAATATTCAGTTTTTCTAACTAATAAATATAATAAACTAATAATTACTATTTAAATTAAGTACTACGTTTGCTTCGATTGCCGGTAGAAAATTGTTGTGATGACAATTTGTTTGGAAATGTCACCGCACACGTTGCAAGTTTTATTTCACCGAACGTTGACTTAAATGTTTTTTGAATCGGTAATATTAACTGAGAAATTTTTTTTCTTTCCGTTTACCATCTTACATTATATTTTTATTGATAAATTTTTAGATAAAAGATAGAAATTAAGATAGAATTCGATAAGTTCATACTATATAAAACATTTCAACTGTATCTTGCCTTTCATTTGCTCATGTTACTCTTACTGATTGGAGGTCTCTATCAATACGTAAGCGCTACCAGTCGTTCTTTGTATAACAGTCTTGAAGAATTTCATCAATAAAGTTTTGTCAAAATATGTTTTAGCATACGTCAAAGCTCGTGCTTATTCATGTAATTTAAATATAAGTTCATTTAGTTTTTTGTGATCAATTTAAACGTGTTACCTATACAGATAAGATCATCGTTTTGCGGTTGGTAACAGAAGGGCGTTGACATTTAATCAAAAAGGCAAAACGAGAAGATGCGTCTGTGACATTAATTCGCCAGTAGCAACTTACTTGATCGGATTTGTTGTTACGGTTGATTTTTTATGAACTGAGCGAGAAAGATGTCAATTAATTTAACAAAAAATAAAGACGGTTTGGTGGCTGCCTGGCACAGCGTAGTCGACGATAAATCGTCTACTAACTGGTAGGCTTGCATCTGTTCCTTTTATGTTACATTTTATCGTCCCGGCTATGCATTCATATGATCCTTAGAAAAAGCATAAATGTTCAATTAAACCCTTAAAAATCCGCAAAATAAATTGCTTTCATGTATTTAATAACTATTCATTTTACTTTTATCGATCGATATAAATAGCGCAAGGTATATAATTAGCATTTATAATAATGAAGCAAATATTCTGTAATATTATACATACGAAGAAATTACAATGAAAAATGAAGAATAAGTGTTAGTTTCAAGTAATAAAAATTGTATATTTTTTTATTCTTTTTTTAATTTAAAAGTAGTTGCAACAGGAACTGGAGGTTTAGAAGAAATGATTGACCGTTTAGATAGTAGTCATATCATGTATGCCTTTTGTCGAGTAATAGATACTAAAACAAGTTTACCAAAATGTCTCTTAATAAATTGGGTAAGACCTTACTATGAAAAAGGTAATATTTTTATTCAATATGTATTATAAAATGAATTATATTCTAGCAAGGAGAAGGAGCACCAATAGTTAGAAAGGGTACTTGTGCAAATCATATTAGGGATGTGGAAAAATTATTAAAAGGTGCACATATAACACTTACTGCACGTTCAGAAGATGATGTTGAAGTTGATTCTATTATGGACAAACTTGCTAGAGCAACAGCTTCAGCATATAAATTTAATGAACCACGTGGTGAAAATGAAGGCAATACAGGTCCAGTGGGTACCACATATAGGAGGTATATATCTTTATTATGTTAATTACGAAGGATATAAAAAATAAACTTAAAGAAACTGTTCATTGCAGAGTAATTCCCGAACAAGAAATAAATGCAACCGAACGCGATCAATTTTGGCAAAGAGAAGAAATGGAAGAGAAGAAAAGGTTAGAACAGGAACGCATTAAATGCGAGAAAGAACGACAACGACTTGAAGAAGAAATTAGAACTAGAGAGGAGAAAGAAACATTGCTCAGAGAACAAAAAGTAAATATATATTACGTTGTTGTATTTAATACATGACGAACATTTTACTATTCATTTACAATATTTGAACAGGTTACTGCCAAGGAAAACTCAATAGCACGGCAAAAATTGGCGGAACAACGTGCCGAGGAGGTAAATAATATACGTAATCAAATAGCAGCAAGTCAACATTATAGCAACGATGTCGATGACGATCATAAATCACGAAGCGAAGAATTGCGACGACAGAGAAGCAAAGAAACGCAACAGTTAATAGCTCAAAGAACAATAAATGCTAGAGCTGTTTTTGAACAGAATTCGGCTGCTGGTCAGATGAAATCTTCTCCAGTTCAGCAACAATACGTACCGAAAAATAGTCACGTGGAAGCAGCCAAAAAAGCACTCGAGGAGAGTCAGCAAAAGGAAATAGCTGAGGCTATAGTAGGAGAAGAAGATGATGAGCAGGAACAGAAAACAGAAATCGATACAACACAGAACTCGGATGTAGTGTCTAACACCGCTTCAAATACATCTTCAACTCAAAACCAAGCTCAAGAATCGAAAGCAACGAAAGAACCAGCGGGAGAAACCGAGCAACCGGCAGCGACAAAAGAAGCGTGTGCCGACTCCGAATTGTACAGTCCTCAAGTAAATAGTCAGTACTTATACGTAGATCCAAATAATGGAGGAATGATGGCAAAAGCCTTATACGATTATCAAGCAGCTGATGATACGGAAATTACGTTTGATCCTGGTGACATTATTACACATATAGATGCCATCGATGAGGGATGGTGGCAAGGACTCGGTCCCGATGGTACTTACGGATTATTTCCTGCTAATTATGTTGAAGTTATCGAGTATTATACGTCGCAATAAAAAACATACTTGTGCAATTAGAAGATCTCTTTTTCCGATTACGAGGAAATCACATTTGCTTTTTTGCATATAAGAAGTGATATTCAGTATTTTCATGGTTCTGATGACTTTGCACTTTCTTTTTAATAATAACTTACAGTGTTTAGATATGATGTATTCCGAGGAATATAAAAAAATTAACACGTATTTATAATAAAAGAATGATTTATGTTTGAAGTATTGAATGCACGTTCAATAATGGAGGAATTTAATATTTCTGATAATAATCACGCGACAGATAAATACTGTTAATATTTTAGCGGACAAGATTTTAAAATTTAATAGTCTTACAATGCCACTTCATATACAAATGGCGAAGTACGTCTTCCCATGTTCAACGTCACAAACTAAATAAATTAGCGATAAACAAATATATCTTTTTATAACATTCTACGTCGAAAATCGATGCGCTCATAGAAATAGCGTATTTAATAATTTAGCAAATACCCTTTAAACACATTTACAAAGTGTAATAACAACCTATTTAGGAATATGTTTAATTCTTTAAATAATAAATTAAATTTGTTATAGTATGCATTTGGTGGTGTTTTAACCCAAAATATTTTCAAGCCTTATTAAATTTTTTATATAAAATGATTTTAATTCTTTTTTATAAACAATTTTATTTTATACAGAGGTGTTGGAATTATGTATCAAGGATCCATATGAAATCAGTTGTATTAAACTTATTTTACTATATGATATATAGAAATTTTTACAGAGGAGTGATTTTACTAAATTAAAATAGAATCACAATAATCTTACACAAATAAAATAAGTGAAATCATCTGCGATAATTTTGATTTTGAGTACCACTCCCACTGCCCCCAGCATGACTTAAAAATGCTAAATGACCCTTTGGACACTTATTGGCATAATGACCTTTAGTTCCACACTTGTAACAAGTGACTTCTTCAAGTGGTTTCTGTGGCCCTCTTGGGGGTGGCCCATTGTGCATATTCATATGATGTGTAGCATGAGAATTACCTTCTATTTCTTGTCTAACTTGAGCTTCACGTACATCAGGTGGCATTTTGTTACAATAAATAGCTTTATGACCACCTTCTCCACAAAAGTGACAGGTGATCATCACTTTCTTTCCTTCTTTAGGTTGCATATCTTGTACTGCTGGTAATTCAAATCTTGGACTACAATTAATAAAAATCACAATAATATATTTAGACCTAAATGAAAGAAATTCGAAATACTCCATTGGTAGCAAACTTACTGCATAAATTTACAATTTAGCCCTTCAGGACAAAATCCAGCTAAATATGCCATACATAAAACACGGCGTACATGCCGGTGTCTGCATAATGGTCCATGCCTGCAAAATCCACGATCATACCAAGGACAATCCCTCACTTTAGTTTCTGGATCAATGTGTAGGAATGGACATTCTTTATTGTGGCAGGCATCTAATAATTTATAACTGATTTTAACATACCTATACTGGGAAAACTTAATAATATCACAAAGAAAGCAATGTTAAAGAAAATACGAAAGGATTGCTTGCATATTTCTTATGGATATATTTTCTGAAGTGATAATAATTAGATATCATCGTATATCACATATACTTACTAAATCTAGAATAAAAATAACATTCTGGCATTTTTGTCATATCATATTCATGTAAAAATTCACACTGATCGCCCTTTTTACAAAGACCTCTTAACCAGTGTTTACATACTATTGTACGGTCTCCTCTTACATGCCTAAATGGACAAGAGGCTCCTTTAACACATGTGCCTCTTGGATAAAATTGACATACCGCAGCAGTAGATTCTACAAGTGATATTGAAGTAGCAATCAGATACAATCATCGATAAATCCATAATGTAAATATAAAGTTAAAAGATCAGTATCTCATTGAATATAGTTAATACAAGAAAATTCGTTTTATTCAACAGATACACAGCAAGAATGTTCATTATTGTACATATTAATTTGTTGATTGCCTTTACATTTTTGATAAGATAACCTAGCTAAACACGTATACAAAAGCTACCACGTACTGTCCATTCCAGTAAAAGGTAAAGGAAGAGCCCCATATTGCTCATCAAGAGCAACTTCAATATCAAAACGCATATTATCTACGTTCGCCACTATGCACTCCATTATTGTTTCAAATCCTTAAACAATAACAGATCTAACCGTCCTCGGTATACACAATAACCATTAACTTCATTCACAACTAAACTAAAGTTTCTCCCGCTAAAAATTCACTTCCTAATACTGATGCACATTTTCTGCAATATTCCCGCCAATTCAGCATTTAACAATGTTCATAGGTTACACTATTTATTGATCAAAGGAAATTGCCAGAATCTCGACTTCTCGCACACGGCAACATCATTCTGCACGTGCGTTGATAAAATTGTAAGCGTTATTTCACATCGGCGCTCTTTAACGATTCTCTTCTACTATTACCCACAGGTCCTTTCGTTTGGATTCGAATTGTAGCGCCATCTACATTGAGTAAATGTTCGAACAGTTCGTAGTTACCCTCTGGTAGACGTCGTTCTCCCGCCATTGCGAACGGGAGACATTCAAAGTGAAGGTGTACAAGTTGGAACAGGTTGCTAAATCGTAAAGAATCTAGGTACGTATGCTTCTAACTAATTCGTCGTTTAATACTAGCGATAAATAAAATCCACTCGTACTACGTTAAACGCAATTCATCAACTCCAAACATTGTATCGTAATCTCAAAACTTTATGTTTACATATTGAAAGGTTAAAAATTATAAGTGGAGATAATGGCGGAAATTACTACGCATGTCAAATAGCATTCGACCATTTGAAAACACAGTTTTGTTAGTAGTTGAAAGACAAAAAAGGCGGGAATCAGCTAAAGACGTAGTTGTAAATCGAAAAAAATTAATCTCGTAGAAAGAAATGACTCGTGCATACAAATTGCAACTCGTATTCCTAATTAATTCTATAAAAGAGTGTTATTTTCTTTCGAGTGCTGTCATGTAGATGTAGTTATTTGTAGGACGCTGTGTGTATTCACCCCAACGTGGCCGATCACGAAGAGTAAGCGTTTACGTACGTGACCATTTGCGTGTATCGAAAGACAACACGGTAAACTTTCAGAGTGTTATGAACCATTCGGTGAAACGAGGACGAACATGAAGCATCGACCGCGTCGTAAAAGTGATCAACTATCGGAAACAGTGACAAAACCTTGGAAAAGTGACGATGTACAGTTAAAATTAAGTGATACGTATTAAAGTATGCATCAGGATGAGACGAAAACAAGCGAACGTGGAGAGGGCATGGAGGTCGTACGAAGCCACGAGGAAGTTGACTACGTTTAGGTTAGTGAAACATACGATTCGTAATAAGTGTATTCCGATTATCGACTATCAATCAGGTTATGTTTAATTGGTCAACTGAACAATTAAGAAACCATAGAGGACGTATTGTACGCGATATAATACGATACAATTGATGTATTACGTTATCGTCGTTTACTCTAAGATATTACGTATCCGTTATATAGAAACGCGTAAGGGACAACGTACCTTGATAATTCACAACCGTTATTGCGCCTGGGAAAATTCATAGCAGGATAATACGTCTATTTCCGTGCACTGGTGCATACCTGTCCCAATAGCAGAGTACTTCATCGTTGATATTGTATAGAGATCGATCGAAGTTTCTACCAAAGTTGAGTGACTTGGGTAACTGGATGTCGGAGGCAGTCTTAATAGCCCTGGCACACCTCCGTAACTCTGTATTTACTTTGAGGAATTTCGAAAGCAACGACGACGGAGAATATGGAGGGACGGGCACACGCTTTCGCCTACTTAATAAAGCTCGGAAATCGTGTCTCGAGCACTCGGTGGTTCCCTAGCGGGACTTTATGGTAATTAAAATCTTAACTCGAGAGATAATTGTCCCCGGATTAATGTAAAGCTGCACGTGGTTAAGCGAGAAGAAAATTTATTCGTTCGCGATAACAAAGATTCGATCGTTTTTTTTCTACCGTTTTTCCACGGTTGCCATCGTGTTTCCTCTACTCTCGGCGAGGGTTTATCAAGCTCCG